CCTGCCTCAGCCTCCCGAGGGCTGGGATTACAGGTGTGCGCCACCACACCCGGCTGAGAAACCTAGTCTCTTGAGGACCTTCGGCCATGCAGCTTGTGAATGGAGAAACAGCTTAGGGAGTGGACAGTGTCTTACCCAAGGTCACAACAGAGCTGGTCCACCTAGAACATAGGCCACCTGACATTTTCTCCTGATCTTTCTCCATCCCAAACATCCACTTCTCACAAGGGACGAATCCTCTTGCTCCCGGGGAAGAAATGACTGTCAGCCCTGAGCATCTAAGACGAGCCAGACTTCATCCCTGATTCTCCAAGCCACCCTCTGCAGCGTTACCCATGCAGCCCTAAGATCTAGAAACAGGCAACACATCTATATGGTTTACTCATAGCACACTTAGGAGCATGCACAATAGTCATTGGTGTCCCGAGACTTTAGCACCACCTTTTAAATGATGCAGCCCGTATTTTACAGATGAGAAAACAGATTCGTGTATGTGAAAGACGGGTCAGGGGCTCACAGCGAGAAAGCAGCAGGAGGAGGATTAGTACAGGCATCTGTGACTCCAACGCAGGGGTGTCTCGTCCTCACCTCAGGCTGCCATCAGGGAAGAGATGAGAGACCTCCATGGGGAGGCAAGGCCAGTACCAGAAGGTAGTGAGCCCCAAAGGAGCAAAGTGACAGTTATTGTCTCGACTAAAAAGTCCCTGAAGTTAGGTTGCTAGAATTCAAATCCTGGTCTGCCACTTAGCTCTGGGCCCTCAGGCAAGTAACTGGTCCTCCTGGAGCATCAGCTTCCTCATCTGTAGAACAGAAATCACAACACGGGGCTGGGGATTTAGCTTAGCGGCACAGTGCCTGCCTGGTAAGCGCAAGGTAGTGAGTTCGATTCCCGGTACCAGAAAAAAAAAACCAAACAAACAAAAAAGAAATCACAACACAGGCCTGCCTTGCTGGGTGGTTAGAGGACTGAAAAATGCGGGTGAGTCACGTGGTACAGTGGAGGCAGCCAGGGCAACTCACACTTTCAGCACCACTGAGGCATTGTTCGTTCATTCACTGCAGGAGCGCGGTGCGTGCATGCGTGTGCGCGGGCGCATGCGCGTATTTGTGCACATGTGCGCGCGTGTGTGCGGTATTTGCAGTGGCTGCCTTCTGTATGCATCCATACTGTTTTGGACACCTGGGGTCCTCCTGGCCTCTGGCCCTGGCCAGCAAGGTGCTCTAGAGGTTAGAGAAAAATTCCGGGTGCGATTCATGAAGTCTGAGCCTTGAGTCCTTTATGTGTAGCCTGGTACCTCATGCTGAATTCATCATTGTGAATTATTTTATTTTTATTTATATTTTTTTGGCCCTGGGGGTTGAACCCAGGACTTTTGCACTGACCTACATCAAGCTCATTAAATGGTTCCTGCTGGGCTCAAATTTGAGATCCTCCTGCCTCACCGGGCTGGGATCGCAGGCATGTACCACTATGCCCAGCTTTGAATTCTCTTTTAAAGAACCTGCAGTCACCAACAAGCCTTGCTGGTATTCTGCAAAGCCTGGATCTGCTGCTTTGTGAGCCTCTTGCCCTCTCTGTGGGGCCCTGCATTTGCACCTGTGAAGTGGGGAGCGTGCTCACTGTGCTGGCTACATGAATTAATGTGCGTAGAACGCTTTACACACAGCTGGCACCCAGTAGATACCCAATGACTGCTGGCTTCTTAAATAAACTCCCAGCCAGTAAATATGCTTAAGTGCTAATAAACGAGCTACATGCTTCACATTTGTCATGGCAATTATGTTTAATTTGCACAGCTCCTCCCACTTTACAGGTGAGAAAACAGAGGCTCAGAAAGGTGAAGTGATTTGCCCAAGGTAACACACTTGGGAGCCACTGGGTGTGACTCCACAGCCATGGCCCTGGCCTCTGCCCGACTTCCTGTGTGTGAGCCCCCACCACCCCCCGCCAGCGGCTGGACCTGGAAGACCCAGGCCCCTCCTCTGGCAGGTACAGTGCACAAGGCCCTGGTCACTGCAGGCGGCCTAAGAGCCCCCTGCTGGGGAAGAAGCCCCCAGAGAAGCTGGCTGGCCCTGCTGTATCTAGTACTTCATCCCTCCTGTCCCCGCGCTTCCTCTTGAGCCCCTGTCACCAGAGGCCTTGGCCCAGGTGGGATGGGGGCCAACGGGTGACAATGACCGATTTAGAAAGTAAAGTTGCTTCTCAAACAAATAAGAAAGGAGAGGAAAGCAAGAACTGGCCTGCCCGCTTCCTGCCCGCCGCTCTCCCAGCACCTGGGGCCCAGCTGCGAGGGTTTCGCTGCTCGCTTGCCCTTCCTGCTGGGAGCCTCTTCTCAGAGCCCCCGCCCGCCCGCCAGTGGGCCCCGGCTGAGAAATAAGCACCCTCCGTGATTGTGCCATTGTCATTGTCTTGGGCATTGTTTTGGATGACAATACCACTGTTCATCACACTTTGGTTTCCTGCAGTGGGAACAGAGGGGGACCAGCTCCTACTTGGGAGCAGCCTCCTTGGCTCTGCAGTGCATGGAGGGGGTCCCAGCTTGACTGTGGGCCTCAGTTTTCTTGTCTGAAAAATGGGGATAAAGTGATGGGAGGGCTGGATCAGCCACATGTGGTGCAGAAAGTGCAGGGCACAGCCCCACTGGCAGCTACTCAGACAATGACTGTGAAAGCCAGGGCCACACAGGGCCACACTGAAGAGTCCCTGGACGTGGCTGAAAGCCCAGTGGACCCAGAGGTGGAATAATCATAGGCGCTTCGTGTTTCTAACTGCTGCTTCAAGCTCTTTATGTATAACTCATTTCATTTCACTGCAACCAAAGGAAGTAGATGCCACTGTCATCCTGAATTCTTTCTTCTTTTTCTTTTTTTTTTTGTTTTGTTTTTTGAGACAAGGTCTCACTCTAGTTCAGGCTGTCCTAGAACTCACTGCATAGCAGCCCAGGGTGGCCTCAAACCCTGTAATCCTCTTGCCTCAGCCTCCCAAGTGCTGGGATTACAGACATGTACCACCACACCCAGCCTGTCACCCTGATTTCGTAGATAAGGAAACGAAGGCACAGAGAAGTGACTCATCCAAGGTCAACACAGCTTGTAGGTGCAAGTCTGGGCAGTGCACCCAGCTGTCTGCTCCAGAATCAGTGCCCAGAGCTGCCCTCGGGTCTGGCTCTGTAGGGCCTGATTTGCTTTGTGATCACGGACAAGTCATAGTTCTTCATTTACAAAACGAGCAGCCCATAGACCTGCGTACAGACTTCCACAATCCTAAGGGAGCACAGCAGTCAGACTTGTGACAGTGCAGAGACCATGAGCGACTCTCCCAAGTGCAGCGTGCAGGAAGCCAGGGCTGTCAATGCTATAATTATTATTAGTGCTAAAGTCACAGGCGAGAGGTGGCCTAGAGGATGCTGAGGGCCCTGCCCAGCTCTGAACATCTAAATCCTGTGGTTACAGCTGGGGAGTGATTCTGGGAGGCACCTGGTGAGAGGTGGCTCCGCCCGTTGGGGCTAAAAAAATCCCTGAAGCTGTCACCGTGCAGTCTGCAGTCACCAGCTCCAGTGACTGGCAAACCTTCCAGCTCTGCTTCCCTGCCCCCAACAAAGCCCCTTGAGCTGTGTGCCCTGCAGAAACCACTGCTCTCCCTGCGACTCAGGAGTGGGACACTGGCCCTGCAGAGCTGCTTGGAATAGGGAGAGCACCTAGCAAGAGAGTTACTAAGAGACTATGGGAACCCAGGTTTGGGGACCCACCTGTCTTTCAGGCTTGGCTCTGCCACTTCCTGTTGCGTGACCTGGCGCAGGTTCCTTGGACTCTCTGAGCTTGGCTTTGCACCACTGGAAAATGGTTTAGCGCAGCACCTGAGACTGTGCAGGTGCTCAAGCAATGAGGATCGGGCTGGGTATGGCCACTCACTGTGCTTGAGCGGGATGTGCAGAGGTCCTCAAAGATCCTGTGGTACTGTGTTCTCATTTGGGTTAGATCTCTCCATCTGGCCCTCCAGCATGCCCCTCTGCCCTTCCTAACGTGCTCTGTGCCCTTTGTGGATAGCAGCAATGCCTGTAACCCTCTGGCTTCTGGTTGGGAGGGCAGGAGGGTTGAACACCGGCATTACGGTTTCCCAGCCTGGCTGCCTCCCCATGACCCTGTGCGTACATCTCTGGCCTGAGTCCAGGTGACCTTCTTCTCCTTCCCTTCACCCCTGGGGTACAGCACCACCCCTCTTGGTTTCCCAGAACCTGCCCACCAACCTGTGATCAAGTTCATGGGCCTGGACTAAACTTTTCAGACCAGCTACCTCTTTCCTGTTTGAGCGTCTACCTGGTGGTGGCTTTACCATGACGTGTACCCTGCAGTATTCATCTAAGACTCCAGGAGGGTCCAGTGATAAAAATCCAAATACTGCTTTCACAGGCATTGTTTAGCCACCGGGACAGCCTCTGCTGGGTCTCTGCCGTGTGCCAGGCTCTGTACAAGGAGCGGAGTAGAGCACAGATGACCAAGGGACAGTCCATGTCCTCAGGGAGCCCCTGGGGTAGTTAGGGAGACAGACACCTAAACAGTCAACTACAAGAGTGAGAGAAGTCACTAAACCCTGGGAGAGGGAGGCCTCAAAAGCTTCGTGGCCAGAAACTTCTGAGTAGCCTCTCCCCACCGCCATTTTAATAACATATTTCATTTAACCCAATGTTTCAAAGTATTATCAGTAGGCAATCTTATCAGTTACAATCTCCTGTGCATCTCAGTCCACGCTGGCCGCATTTCCAGCACCCAACAGCTGCAAGCAGCAATGGTGAGCAGTAGGGCAGCATTTCAGCATTTTATTTGGTCCTCCTGACAGCTCTGGGGAGTGAGTAGTGCTTTTCTTCCGTTTGACAGAGGAGGAGGTGGAGACTGCAGGAGGGAGGGTCACTTTGCCTGAGGTCACAGGATTGTGACCTGGATCAGTGTCACTCCTGTCTCTTCCTGCTGCCCTATCCCCTAGGCTGACCCTGTTCCCCAGAGTGAAGCAGCTGTCAAGGCGGAAAAGTCCAAGCTGGAACTGAGCTCCCCTGACCTCAGCCTGCAATGCTTCTGCTGTCTACTGACGCTACAGGACACACTGGGGGACACAACACCCCCTAGTTTTCTTCCTGGAGTCCCCGAGGAACTGGCGGGTGGTGTGACCGTCTCCCAAGAAGGGCGGGTTGTCTCCAGGTGGGAGGTGACAGATGCAGCTAGACCAGGCTCAGGAAAGTAGGCAGCAGGCCACACTGGCACCTTTGCCAGAGTCACAGTGATTCTTTCTAAGCCCAAACATCCAGAGACACCTGCTCCCAAGCCTCGCGGGGTAGAGAGAGCTCACAGTGAGTCAGCACCAGGTTTCCTTGGAAAATTAAGATGGGACAATAAGTGCGAGACATTCTCAGGGGCAATTTGCCCCAACCTCTCAGACCTGCATCCATGCTGTGGAGGGGACAGCAGAGCCAGGGAATAGCAGAAGTGCAGGGAATGCCCTGGCAAGTCCCGGTGTGTGTGTGGTGACTCCAGGGACATTGTACAGTGGCAAAACCAGTGGTTGGTAACTGATTATTCACTGGGCTCTTCACAGTTCACGATTACCCACCTACCCCATAAAATCATCCATCCATAGCCTTGCATGCCCACCCACTTCCAAGCCTTTCATTCATTCATTTCTCTATCTGTCTAACACCATCCACCCAGCACATGGTTCTCTGTGGGATTCTGGATATGAGGCCAGGAGCAAAACCCCAGAGGGATGGATAAACCTGAGAAAGTCTGAGAAAGGGAATGTGGTGCGGGAGCTTCCAGGAGGGGCAGCAGGACCCCAAGGAAGAACCACTTGATTCCACCCCAGACAGTTCAAGAAGGCTTCCCGGGCAAGGAACACTCGGCTTGGCCCTGAAGGAGAAGCGGGGCCTTGAGGAGCTGGGGGAAGGAGCCCTGGCCGATGAGCCTGGCAGTGATGCAGGCTGGCTGGGGACACCAGAGAGCCTGCAGCACAGGGGGAGTGAGGACATCAGGGAGGTCCGGAGTGCTTAGACAGAGTGCCCAGGGTGACCCCACGGAGCCCCATCTCGACTGCGCGCCCTTTACCTGACCCAGCATGCTTGGTGACACCATGGGGTCTCCAGGGTTCTCACCCTCTGGTGGACCCCGTGTCACTGAAGTCAGGGGGCGCAGACAGGTGCGGTCAGAAGGACCAGGAGCCGAGCCCAGGTGGGGGTGCTGCTTGTGGGGAGGAGCGGGGAAGGGAACCTCGGAGATCGTTTTCACCTGCCACCTGCTCTGCCCCGCCCAGTGATGGAAAATGTGTGTCAGAGGAAGCTGTGCTGGGGACACGGGGTAGGTGTGCGTGGGTGATAGCACGTGGGGGCCCCGCAGGAGGGCAGGATGTGCTGGAGCTGGGGGCAAGGTCGGGGTGCTGGAGCGGGGTCTGGGGCTCGGGCCCTGCCTGCTGCCGCCTTCAATCGGGTTCTCACTTTCCTTCTCTCACGCAGAACTGACTGTACACTTTCACTTCCAGAAGGGCGAAGGGCGGGCAGACCGTCCCGCGAAAGTGTCCTCAAGCCTCGGAAGCCGCAGCCAAGTCTTGCTCAACTGTTTGTGCAGCAAGCGCTGTCTGCTGGGATGCGAGGAAACAGGGCAGCCCTTTCCTCCCCAGAGAGATGCACAGCCTAGAAAGGGCAGGTACAGTGTGTGTGTGTGGGGGGGTCACACCATCTCGAGGGGACTGGGACAGTGGGCAGGGTGGATGCAGGCCGCATGCCGAGCGCAGGGGAAGGAATGGCAGCTGCTGCCAACCGGACTCGCGGGTCAGGCCTCTGAAGGCTACAGTGCGCCTCTCCATCCTCTGGCGGCTGGTCCCCACTTCCACAGCGAGGGAACGGAGGCAGAGACAGGGCAAGAGCTTGCCCAGGTTCTCACTGCCAGAGGCTAGAAATGCCAGCGGCCGTCAGCTCTTACCTCTGCACGGGAAAGGGGACATGGGACAGGTGTTGGGGCAGGAAGGGGCTGTGGAGGGAGGACAGGCCCAGCCCCCCTGTACTGGAGCTGAGGGAGGGGACATCTCAGAAGGGCCCTCCAAACATCACCCTGACCGCTGAGGGCCACTGCAAGTCTGATCTGGAAAGATAGCCTCTTTAGAAGTGGAACTAGCGAGACAGAAATGGACAGAAATCCATGCAACTTAGTCTTGATGTTCTGTTATCTTCCTACGGCTGCTGTGCAGAGTGCCTTAAATCAGCCAGCACTGTGGGAGGCTGAGGCAGGAGAATGGCAGGTTCAAGTCCAGCCTGGAGAACTTAGTGACTTAGAAAGACCCTATTTAAAAAATAATAACAGGGGCTGGGGATTTAGCTCAGCAGCACAGCACCTGCCTGGAAAGCACAAGGTCATGAGTTTGATTCCTGGTACCAGAAAAAAAAAATAATAATAACAATAATAATAATAAAAGGGGGTGGGGAGGTAGCTCAGTGCAGAGACCCTGGGTTTAATGCCCAATACCATAGCAAAACAGAAACAAAAATCCCCAGCACAGAAGGATTCTGTCACTGCTCTGAAGGCCGGAAGATCAGAACCAAGGTGTCCTCTGGGCCACGTTCCCCTGAGCCTCGGAGTCAGATCCTTCCGGGCCTCCTCCGGGCTTCTGCGGTAGCCCTCGATCCTGGCCTTTCCTGGCTTTTCAGCAGCATCACTCCAGTCCCTGCCTCTGATGTCCTGCGGCCTTCTGCCTGCTGCTCCATAAAGAGTGCCTCATGTTGGACCAAGCAAGGGCCCACACCAGCCCAGTCTGACCCCCGCTAACAAGATCTGCAGCAATCGTATTGCCAAGTAAAGTCTCATCTGAGGGGCCAGGGGTTAGGACTTCAACATGTCTTTTTGGGCGACACAACTCAACCCCAAACAGATGTCATTAATGGGTTTTCATACAAATAAACATTGAATCTGGGGGAAAAAGCAGCGCAACCCCTATGCCCCAATTTGAGATTCAAAAAAAACGGACCATGAGGTTGGGTGCGCACGGCAAATTCAATCCCCAGTTCCAAAAGGAAGAAAGAATGAAAACACAGCTTTGTTATAGCGATTCCCCACGCTAGCACTTGCCCTGGCCGTCCTAAGTAAATGTTTGAGAAATACTTGACTTGTGGTCCCCTAAGGCCCTCAGATCTTTCTTTAAGCAAGTCAGGAGAATAGAACAAAAGTGCCCGGAAAACAAAGTGAAGCTGCCCTCTGCCCCGATTCCTGGCAGGCGGCTGCTCGGCTGACCTTCGCCTTCCCTTTGCATGGGCACCAGCTTCTCGCCGGTCCCGAGGAGGGTGAGAGTGAGAGGCCTCCTCCCTTCCTCGCTGGATTAAGCAGAGCCCACAGTCCTCAGTAACATCCCGTGCCTCTCCGCTCTGGTTGCTCCCTGCAGACAAACGACCATGCCCTATGCTTATCGCCTAAACCTAGCTCCTTGCCTTTACTGTGGGACTGCGGTACAGTTGGCAATCAGGTTATCCGAAACGTGAATCTGATCACTTCTTTGGCTGCCATAAAACCTTCCATAGCTCCCTGTTACTCTTAGAATAAAGTCCACATTCCCGGGTTGCCACTTCAGGCTTTGTGCTGGTTGGTCCCCAGCTTTGATTTTCAGCGTTCTAGTACACAAGCACTTTGTCCTACAAGCAGCAGAAGTTCCAGAATCTCCCTTGTGAAGAGACTGGCAGTGCATTCTGGGTAGAACTCTGTGGGGAGGCTTGGCCTGAGGTTGCTATAAGTGACCGTGAGCACGGCTGTGCTTTTGTCTTTTCTGCACCCACATCTTTACGTATGCTCCCTGCCCCCATAGGACACTCTCTTCTGCCCTTCATTCTTCGATATCTAACTGTTCATGTTCACCCTGGTCACATAACGAAGGATCTTTCCCTGTCCCAACAATGAGCATTTTGCTTGAGCTTTTTTTGCTGGAGGGTAGGGGAGACAGGCTCTCTCTACATAGCCCAGGCTGACCTTAAACTTGCAGCCCTCCTGCTTCAGCCTCCCAAGTTCAGGAGTTACAGGCATGAGCCACCACACCCGGCCCCTTGGACTTTTTTACGATACTTGTTCCAGGTTACTCTGTTCATGAGAGCCCGGCTGCCTTTCCCTGGGAGCTGGGTTCTAGTCCCGGGCCTCGGACCAATAGTGGGAAGATCAGGGGAGAAAAGCTCTCCAAAGTGAGAAAAGTCACAGCCACTGCTGCCACTTGTCAATGTCTTGCCTGTGTGACCTTGGGCAAGACATTTTCCCTTTCTGGGCCTCAGTTTCCCCTCTGCAGAGTAGGATATAAGACAAGATATCCAAGCAAGTATGAAAGCAGAAGCTAAGTTTCTCCCTCTGTCCTGGGTCTGGTGAGACCTTGGTCCTGTGAAAGAGCACTTCTCGAGTCCTTCATTTTACATGAATTTGCATTTATTTTCACGTGCACCCTATGAGGTGCCAACTATGTTTCATTCATAGAAACAACTGAGACGGTCATCCGCTTGATGCCCAGAGATGGAAAACAGCCACCAGCTCATGGTTCCAGGCAAATCAGAGGCCCTTAGTCATTTACCTGCTGTAGTGGACTGATAACTGGTGGTCAGTTTGTAACCCCCAGCTGAACTGAGTGAGTGGTGCTGGGTGTGGGAGGCCCACCTGGGGACTGTTGCCAGCAGCATAAGAGGCAGACCTGGAGAAGAAGAAGCGGGCTGTTGGGAGCTGAGAGAGACTGTGGGGAGCTGGCTTCCTGATGAACTTGGCTGTTTTCATCCTCCGAGGAGCTCGGGACCTCGCTGGCACTGAGAATGGCTTCAGTTCACTTTGGAGAGCTCTGGTCCTCACTTTGAGCATAGCTTCCTGGTTCCAGAGGGGAAGATGGTGCACTGCCGGCCTCCAGGAAAAGCTTGATGCGTTGGCTTCCCTGATGGGAACTCGGCCATCTTGATCATCGGAGGAGCTCGGGACCTCACTGTTGCCGAGGATGGCTGTGGTACCTTTTGGGGGGAGCTCTGGTTCTTCTGAGCATCACTTCCTGGCTCCAGCGCAGATCCCTCAGCCTGCTAGCATAGGTCCTTCTTCCTGCTGGCACAGACTTTGTAGATTCCACCACTGACCTTTGGGCCTTCCCAGCAGATCCATGAAACAGGCCTGCATGAGACGTTGTCATGGGCTCTGGGCCTCCAGCTGGATTCGTGGGAGGCATTGTTATGAGCTCTGGGTATTCAGCTCAACTCATGTAGGACATTATTGTGGGATCCAGGCCCTCAGCTGGATTCCCTGGTCTTAGTGTGTGGTCAGATGCCCTGCACTCTTTTGTATCTTGTTCTTTGGGTGACTTATAAATAATCATATAGAGTATGTGTCGTGTATTATATTGTTCCCCTTGCAAAATAAGCCCCAAACCAACACACCTGCCAAGGGCCTCCTCTTACAGATGGGTAACGGAAGCACAGAGATGGAAAGTGACCCGCCTAGGGTAACACAGCAAGTGAGGAGCCTAAGGTTTCATCCCATACTTCCCTCTGTCTGCCAGGAGCTGCTGCTAAGTATCTTGTTTGTAGGAGGAAGAAGCGGGGCCTGGGTTTCTTTTGAAGCCCCCTCTGTACCCCAGAATAACAAAGCTGGCCAGTGTGGCAGCCTCCGCAACCACCACAGGAAACCAAGTTGTAGTAGAAAGGCAGGTGGGAGTGGAAAATCCTCTGAGAGGTTAGAGTGTTGCTTTCACCTTTTCTAAAAATAGCCCTGCTTATTAGAGGTCGATAGATGATGAGATAACGCACAGGTTATCCCACGCAAGCGGGAGAGGGGAGGGTGCTGCGAGCCACTGCAGGGTGGCTTTGCCACAGATGCGGGCCCTGGGCTGGGCTCTAGGAACAGCTGGAGAACCTTGTCTCCGGAGGGGCAGACGGGCAGCAAGTGAAGCAGACAAAATAACTGCCAAGTGGGACGAGTGCTCTGACGGGGCGGAGGTCAGGACCATCAGGGAGACCCACTTAACCCGGATGAGCAGGGAACTGAGCAGCCAGCCCTGCAGACAACCAAGGGCAGGGAAGGGCATCTCAAGGACAGGGACTGGACAGCCGGGGGAGGGGATTTGCAGGGGAGGTAGAGTCCAACCAGCGTGGCTTGGAGTCCTGGCTTCCAGATCAAGGAAGCCCCGGAGGCGGGACTTTCTGCAGGGCAGTGTGCCCGTGGGGTCCTTTGAGGATGCTTGCTCTCGCCTGCTGGGTGGGCTCGGCACTTGGGAATGCACAACAGGAAGAGCAGTCAGGCAGCCATCAACCCTGGCATCCAGGCAGCAGAGACAGAGGCCTGCACCAGGACGGGCAAGGGCAAACGGAGAGACCTGAATGAATGTCCAAACTTCGCAGGAGCGGACGAGTTGGACTGCATGGGGCGGGGGTACTTAGCATCCTGGCCTGAGCATCTGCTGGAGGCCATGCCAGGCCTGAGAGGGGACCTGCAGGAAGAGGCAGGAGGGGCGCGTGTGGGACTCTGGTTTGGGGCGTGTTAGGTGGGAGCAGTCCACAGATTGACAAGAACCTGCCCCCAAGCAGCTTGAGGCCTGTGCACCAAGGACCGGCTGGGTGAAGCAGTCAGTTCTCCTCCTGTCTGCCCAGTCGAGGGGTGAGCACCAGGAGTCAGGGGCCAACTCTGCTCCATTCTGCAACCCCAGCACCTAGGATCACATCCTGCACGTAGTAGGTGCTCAACAGATCTTCAGCTGTGTGAGTTGGATCACAGATGTGGTGACTTTAAAAAAATTCAGTGTTGGGGCTGGGGATTTAGCTCAGCGGCACAGCACCTGCCTGGCAAGCTCAAGGTCGTGAGTTCGATTCCCGGTACTGGAAAACAGTGTTCCCCCATCGTGGGGTCTTAATAAATATATAAGGAATTCTCTGTCACCCCCACATCCAACCAGCAGAATCCTGCAGCCTTGATTTTTCTCAGTGTTTCTCAAACGATCCTTTTCCTCCACCCTTCTCTCCCTACCCGACCCCAGCCCCAGCATTTGACCGTGTCCACAGCTCCCTGAGCTGAGGTCTCCCTCTCTCCTTCCCTCCCTCTGACATGGATTGAACCCAGAGCCTCTACTCTCAGCTATACCCCAGCCCCTTTAGTTTTATTTTGAGACAGGATCTTGCTAAAGTGCTAAGTTGCCCAGGCTGGGCTCAAACTTGGAATCCTCCTGCCTCAGCCCCCCTGGGTGCTGGGCATGTTCCGCCACACCTGGCCGCTCTGCCTTTCCTGCTCAGGGACCCTCAGAACACAAAGGTCAGGAGACTTCTCCCCGCTGGTGCTGCCCACACCACCATGGCCTCAGCCTCCCCAAGGCCTCATTCTCCACGCTCCACTTCCCACTCACCGTCCACATTTAAGCCAGGGTGGCCTGGGCAAAGTCACATTGGTCCTGGTCCTCTCCAAAGCCCCTCTGGCCGGCTGCAGCACGGTGACCCTGCACCGTCACTAGCCCAACACCAAGGCCCCTGCATTCCAGCAGCAGCTTCATCCCCCCGAACTCACCCAAATCTTCGCCTGCGGTGCCCCAGAGCCGCGCCCTCTGCCCTGCCTGCTGCTGGTTCCTTCACACTTACCCCTTAAGATCCAGCACCTGGTACAGTCTTTCTCTGCTCCAAACCTGGCACGGGCCACCTGCTCCACACACCGTGTCAATTTCATCAGCACCTACAATGAGACGTTTGTTTACTGAGCACTTACTATATGACGAGTAATCAGTTAACCCTCACGATGATCTCACAAGGTAATTGTCCCCATTTTACAAATATGGGAAACAGGCACAGAGAGGTTATGTGACTTGCCTATGGCCACACAGCCCGTGACAGAGCCAGGATATGACCTACAGCCTTACTGCTGAGTGGTATGCTTGAGTGTTGTATGTAGTTGTGGGACACATGTTTGCTTGCTTATCTGTTTCCTTAAAGACAAGGATAGAGAAAGCTGGGTGTGTGGCAGCACACACCTGAAATCCCAGCTGGGGTGGGGTGGTGGCGAGGCAGGAGGATTGAAAGTTCGAGGTCATCCTGGGCAACTTACTGAGGCCCTGTCTCAAAATAAAATTTTTAAAAGGGCTGAAGATGGCCGGGCATGATGGCACATGCCTATAATCCCAGCACTTGGGAGGCTGAGGCAGGAGGATGGTTACGAGTTTGAGACCAGGCTGTGCTACAAAGTGAGCTCAAGCCCATCCTGAACTGCATAGCAAGACCCTATCTCAAAAAAAGACTAAAAATAGTGGCGGAGGTGGTGCGCTGGGGATGCAGGTCAGTAGTAGAGCACTGGCCTAGCATGTACAAGGGCCAGGATTCAACACTCCGTGTTGGGGTGGCGGAGGACTGAGCTCCAGAGGGGCTAAGTAACTTGCCTAAGTCACCCAGCAAGGAGCTGGTGGAGACGGAATCCTATAGAAGCCCAGGTCTCCTGACTCCAAGCCCGGTGCTCATTCCACACGTTATAGAAGAGGCCACGCCCCATCCTGCGGGACTGGAGGTCCTGCGGTGTCTGTGGTCATTAATCACTCCCTGTCCCAAGGGGGGATGGCTGAAGACAGGGCCTCCTTCCCGTCCTCCCACCCCTCAGGGTCTAACACCTCTTCCCGGTCACCCCCCAACGCTGCCCCCACCCCACCCCAGGCCACGCCCCTCCCCGACCCCCTCGAGTGTCCTGGAGAAAGCATCCGGCTGTCATTGTGAATCTGCAGGGTTCGGACCTGCAGCTGGAGCCACGGGCAGGAAGCAGTGACAATGGATGAAAGACCCTCTGTGCCCAGGTGGGTGGGGGAGGGGAGGCAGGAAGCCTGAAGCCTCCTACATGAGGCGGCGGAGCTGCCGCTGGAGGGAGGCCTGGGATGCCGGACGCTGCGGGGTTTGTTTGGATTCCCCAGGGATCTGAGCTGGGGAGCCCTTTGCAAACATCAGACCTGCTCTTCTCCATGGGGTGCCAGGCCTTGGACCTATGCGACAAGAATGTTGCTTTCTATTCATCGCTGTTTGTCCCCAGGGTCCAGCCGCCAGGGCTGGCTACACCGCAGGGGCTTGATTTGTTGAATACAGACAATTAATCGGGCACTGCTAATAACTAAGGAACTACAGTTTCATATGGATTTCCTACTGAAAAAATAAAAAGGCTTCCTGAGGATTCCTTTCCCTGCTTTGAGCTTTTGCACATGCTGTTCCTTCTGCCTGCTTTGCTCTTCCCTCTCTGCTCTTTGCGAGGTCAGCTCTTCTCATCCTCCAGCTGCCGCTGAAATAAAGCTCTTTAATCAACTTTTGGGTGCTGCTATGACCTGCTAGCTAAGGGAATCTCCATCCCAGTGCCTCCCCTAGCCCAGCGCTCTTGATTTCCTTCACAGCGCTTCTCAAAATCTGAATCCTCCTGATTGACACCTAGGCTAACGTGTTCACTTCCTGTTTCTCCCACCTGTGTGTAAGCTCACTGTTGTACTCCAGCGCCAGGTACTAGACGATGCTGCAACTGAAGAGAGGAGTAAGGGAATCCCTGTAAGGCCACTGCGCCCTGGCCTGCAGCAGCTGGGAAGAGAGAGAAAGGGAGCCTCGCTCAGCCTGCACAGGAGATCGCAAAGCTGCAACCCACAGCGCAGTGAGCGGCTACTTCCAGGTCAACAAGAATGATGGATATAAGTCATGTGAGGGCTTGGCTTCCTGCGTGACAATTACTGAGTTTCATCTGAGTGTGTACATGGAGGGAGGCTGTGCCCGGGAATGGCCACTGCCTGTCCAGCTTGCTGCGGGGGACATTGAGGTGGACTGAGGTGTTCCATCAAACCTGTTCATTTCAAAGGTAGAGCTAGGCGTGGTTGTAATCCCAGCACTCAGGAGACTGAAGCAGGAGGATTGCAAATTCCAGGCCACAGAGTGAGACCCTGTCTCAAAAAACAAACAACTGGGTGTGGAGGTGCCTGCCTATAATCCCAGTATTCTAGGAGGCTGAGGCAGGGAGATCTGCAAGTTGGAACCCAGCCTGGGCAATGTAGTAACCTAGTGAGACCTTGCCTCAAAAATTTTTTAAAAGGGATGGGGAGCTGGGGATGTAGCTTAGTGTGAAGGCCCTAGGTTTGATCCCCAGTATTGCAAATCAAACAAAAGGTAGGAAAATCAAGGCCCAGAAATCCCAAAATGAGTCATGAAAATTGAGAGATTTACCAGCAGGTGGAGGTTGTGGTTCCTTGAGTCCTGACCCATTCATTCATTCATTCATCATTCATTCATTCATCACTCATTCATTCATCATTTAGTGTTCATTTACATACATGAACAATGCTTAGTGAGCACCTGTCATGTGTCTGGCACTGTGCCGGAACTGGAGATGCAGAAATAACCAGGGGCCCAGGGACTCAAAGGAGCTAAGTAAAAGGTGCAGCTTACCTGACACTGAGCTACTTGGGTGACTTACAAGGCACGTGGGCGGGGAAGACGAGTTCTTGGGAAGGCAGGAAGGAAGAGGTTCATTTGTGAAAGATTAAACTCGGGTACTGGACAGAGAGACTCCACAATGGAGGAAAATATTAACTATGACTAAGAAACCAGTTTAGCCAAGTCCAGTGACCCTGCTTCTGAGCTTCCGTCACAGCCTGGTTGGATTGGTTCCCAGAAATTTCATCCCTTCCAGCGGAGCAGTTTGTGCCGCCTCAATGGCGTGGGACCCACTCACAGAGAAGGCCAAGGCCGTTTCCCACTCAGGAAACACGTAGAGGCACCTGCTATCTCTGGACTCTGCGCTGGGCATGGGGGTTACCATGGAAAGGAGGCTGTGTCTCAGTTCATG